ATTTAAAATATGCGGGTCATATAACATAAAGTTTGAATACATCGATATATAACATGTATTAAAAAATATACAATATGTACATGCTTATAATATGGAGATACACAAAACACATATCATAAGAGATAAGCTTATAGAAGAAGAAAAAAAAACTTTTCGGATGTAAATTAAAGACACTTATATGGGTATACTACTTCTGAATTTTATTAACATGCTACGTTTCGATACACATACAGGTATCGTTATCAAGCTCCATAGGATAACGATACCTGTATGTGTATTGAAACGTAGCATGTTAATAAAATTCAGAAGTTTTATACCCATATAAGTGTCTTTAATTTGTTAAATCTACTTCTATATATCTCATAATGAAATCTAGACTTGAATCATATTGACGATCAATTTGTGTAAACTATAGCGTGGATTACGGCGTGAATTTTTTCCCCCCAAAATGCAAATGACGCAGACAGATTTAAAAGTTCAATACAGTATGACGTCAGCATAATGTATTACGTAAATCTAAAAATGGCCGGATTGATAAGACCCGCATATTATTGAAATAACTAACGCTAAATAATGTAATCTATTAGATTATTACAAGATGAAATAAAATTATTTTAATACAGTAATCCTATGTCATTTCGTTTTTTATAGTTCAAAATTTCTTTTACTTGAACCGTATGACCTAGTTCGTGTCGAGTGGACGTTAAACCCCATTTCTCTCTCTGTCTCTCAAACTAAGTATTACTGCTCGATGCTTTATAGAAATATAAATGTTGATAATCGTTTATGATGTTGATCGGCATACCCCCCCCCCCCCCTTAGCACCCGCGCAACACCTTGTAGAACCCATTAATCATTATGTGTTAGCAATTTATTTTGGGGTTGAGGCAGGGGACAGTTGGAATGTAATTGCTTTCTGGGCAAACGTTTCCCCAAAGCACACTGCAGGAAATATGTCTGTCTTCGTCAATCTGATTAAAACACAGATCCTATTTCGTTTCGTTTTTTATAGTTCAAAATTTGGTTTTACTTGTCTTTACTACACTATGATCTGGAAGAGGTGTTATATTTATAGAGTTGATGTGAGGGATTAGCCAATGAAACGATCTGTTACGTCGAGTTTGTAGTGTGAGGTTTAAGGAACTGTGAGTAACCCACTAGAAATATCAACGCTCATTGTTTAATCAAATGTCTAACGTCGTAGGTTCAAAAGCCGCTCGTATGACCTCAGACGCGACCTTCCACTACAGCCGGTACAATTTATATGGAAAACAATCATTGATTCATACACATATAGCACGACGGGTTTCCACAAGTATTCTCTTATCGTTTTCAAGTACAAATAATAAAAAGAATAAGAGAATACCTGTCGAAACGTCGTACTATATGTGTATCAACCAGTAATTGTTTTCCAAAGAAATTGTGCTGTGTTTTTTAATGCCCCCCTCAAGGATTAATTTCAGTTCATATTTTTCTTTTTATATCAAAATAAATGTCGTAGTTTGTTTTGGGTTTTTTTATTTTCGGGCAAATGTAAACGACTGACCAAGATTTCAATACAGTATGACGTCAGCTAAAGTATTAGGAAAATCTCAAAATGGCCGTATTGATAAGACACGCACATGATGTAAATTTTTAGATTATTGCAAGATGAAATGAAATAATAAAATTTATTTAAGTCAGCAGTTTAACTTTCCTATTTTTATATAACCTTTCTTTGTTATAGGGTCGCCTGTCCAATCTCGTGGGTTTTCTCCGGGTCCTCCGGTTTCCTCCCACTGCTAAAGACTACTACGCGCAAGCGAATTATTGAAATAAAACTGGTCCATGTGTTAGTCCCGAAATGACCTAGTTTGTGTCGAGTGGACGTTAACCCCCCCCCCTCTCTCTCTCTCACACACGTCCCTATCAACAAGTACGGGTGGAACTTAGCTTCTCGTCACATCAGCATGACTAGACATTTTCCTTTATCACGCCCTCCATGTTGCAGCATTGACAAAATGAAATAAAATAGGGTTTAACGTCCTACTCTTCTGCTTCTACTGTGCTAATGAAGACGGGCATATGTCATACAGTGTGCTTTGGTCTACTCTTGTGTCGAATTCTGCCAAGGTATCTTTTACGTGCACTCCAAAGTATACCCGTGACCTCGGTTTTTCATCCATCCGAACAACTAGACAGCTGTCCTTGTGAAGCCCTCTGTCCTGCACCAGTTTCCAGTTCCAAACCCAGCTTGAGACTGTGCGATCAGTTACGTCAGAAGATCAAATTTTAATCAGACTGGCTGTACAACATGGATGCCAACATAGGCGTAGGAGCCGGGGGGCAGAGGGGGGGGGGGGACATTTGCCCCCCAAAAAATTTATTTTCGGGCAATGAAAAATTCGACGACCTTTTTTTTCTATTAACTAACTTATTTCTATGAGATCCACACTGCCCGAAAAGTATTTTCTCGTCTTTTTCTTGTCCACTGCATGCCCGAAAATGTGCCCGAAGCTCTCTTATGATATGTATGCCCGAAAAAACGGTATTGATTTCGGGCAATTTTCTCTTATGCCCCCCTGAATTACTTTGAGCTCCTACGCCTATGGATGCCAATCGTTAGCCTGCGATATTTAGTGGAAACGAAAAAATGGATAATCGAGAATTTGTTTATTATCGTACCAACAGTAGTAATGACGATCGAGGCTAGCCTAAAATTGAATCGCTAATATCTCGGTTCAGAGTGAAGCAATTTGACTGAAATGTTCAGCATAATTCTGTTTTTATTATTTATTTTTTAAGTATCATACTGTCAGCTCTTTATCTAATCTTACCCAACGCCCCGAAGGAGAGTAAAACTTATCCCAGTCGCTCGGTAACGATGAATCAGCAATGTTTTAATAACGTCATGGTTGTTAATAAATTCTCTGAAATCAATTGTGTATAGACTCGGGTTAAGCATTAGAATGATATTTGGGGATTTTGGAGAGAGAGAGAGAGAGAGAGAGAGAGAGAGGTGGGGGGGGGGGGGGTAACGTCCACTCGACACAGTCTAGGTAATTTCGGAACTATCATATAGTTCAAATTTATTTCAATAATTCGCTTATTGAAACTCTACGAGGTTGGACAGACAACCCTACTCCTTGTCAGTACAACAAAGAGAGAGAGAGAGAGAGAGAGAGAGAGAGGGAGGGTTTAACGTCCACTCAACACAAACTCGGTCATTTCGGGACTAACATATGGTTCAATTTCTTTTCATTCAATAATTCGCATGCGCGGAGGGGTCTTTAGCAGTGGGAGGAAAACAGAGGACCCGGAGAAAACCCGCGAGGTTGGATAGGTGACCCTGGTGGTTGACTCAATGACATACCTTATGATACAACAACCATTCGGTCATCCACCCCACCTGCCTGTAGATAAGACTGTTTCATAATAGCTATATATATATATATATATATATATATATATATATATATATAAACCTATTTACAGAACTGATCAGTAAATAAAGAAATTTATATATAACAGCACTTGTTTGTAACTGTTTTATTTTCAGCTATTTTAAGTTTAGACGCAATTAACGATTTTTATTTTAATTACACCGGATTACATTTTAAAAGGAAAGGATATTTATACCATTTTAGCTTTAAACATGCATTATGCAAGAGCTAAATCTGCCTATTGCAGGTCTTTCTTTAGGCCTTAAATGTTATATAAACTATTAATTAGAAACCATAATCAACTCTCGATGCCTTCAAATGCTCTACTGAAGACGAGCATACGCCATCCAGTGTCCTATTAGGAAAATTTTGCCCGGGCAGCGGCACTACGGCGTACTCTTGGATCGAATTCCATCTGTCAAGGGTTCTTTTACGTGCACGCCTATGTGTACACGGGACCTCGGTTTTTCGTCCCATCGGAAAGACTATATGTTTTCCCTTGTCAGGCGATTATGTTATTTTGGTATAGCTTGTCGAATGTCTTGAAGAAATGAAATGAAATAAAATGGTGTTTAACGTCCTAATGAAGATGGACATACGCCACGCAATGTGGTATAGGTGAAATTTTGCCCGGACAGCGGCTCAACGGTCACGCTTATATCAAATTCCAACACTCAAAGATCTTTTACGTGCACGGCAATGATTTTTAGTCCCACCCGAACGACAATACGTTTCTCTTGTCAGGGCCGTAGTGCCGCTGCCCGGGCAAAATTTAACTCATAGCACACTGTATGGCGTATGCCCGTCTTCATTAGCCCAGGTTAGGAGCAGAACAGTAGGACGTTAAACTCCATTTCATTTCTCTTGTCAGACCCTCTGTCCTGCACCACTGACAAGGGGGAAACAACTCCGGAAAATCTCGATTAACATTATCCGGATCAGACAAGGAACATCCTGGTTGGCGAGCAAACATCTTACTCAGTGAATCACGGCATTGGTACTTATATGACATTGGTACATGCAGTATTCAGAACAGACAAGATTTCTGATTTTTGTGACGGTGCTAGCCTGGAGGTCGGGTGTTCGATCCCTGCATTGGCCGAGAAAGTTCATCCTGATTTTCCGGCGTGGTTCCCCCTTGTCAGGGATGCAGGACGGAAAGCCTGACAAGGACAGCTGTCTAGTCCTTCGGATGAGACGAAAAACCGAGGTTCCGTGTATACATTGGAATGCACGTAAAAGATCCCTTGGCAGTTGGAATTCGATATAAGAGTAGGCGATAGTGCCGCTGCCCGGGCAAAATTTCCCTCATAGCACATTGTATGGCGTATGCCCGTCTTCATTAGCCCAGCATAGGAGCAGAACAGTAGGACGTTAAACCCCATTTCATTTCATTTCATTTCATTTATTGTGAGAGGACAAATTCTGCGCCTATCACCCAAACGCATAATTGTCTATTTCAATCAAATAGTTTAATTCTTATCGTCCAAACTCACACGCCTCAGTCATGCACGTGAATTGTGCGTGCTTGTGCGTGTCATCTCTGCTATAAATATGACAAACAAGGTCTCTCGTGGTAACATAGACATTTCGTTCGCTGGTTGGATAGTTCGTAAAGATTATTTACAAGGTGACCATTAATTTGTCCCAAACAATTTGTTTGGATGATTTTGACAAGGAGTACTTTGTATGGAATTATAAATAAATACGATATCGTAGACAAAGAGGTAGCATAGCTTATAAACTAGGGTGTCCCGGGATTTTGTCCGGAGGTATTTCTTGTGCTCAGCGACACGGGACGAACGATTTCCGGGCAAAGCTCAGACATAGTACACTGCATGGCACTTGTCCGTCATTAACACCAGGTGATGCATAACGATAGATATTAAAAACCCCATTTCATTCTTCAATAGAAGGCTTGATCTCGCTTTTAACTCCGTACATAACCCTGCATATTTCGGCTGTGTTCTCGACCCATCTAGGGGCCTACCGGATTCTTCAATCATCGCGAATACCAAGTCTCGCGGTTTCCAGCTAAAATGTCTACCTGTGATAATCGAGTAGGACAGTTCAAGGTTTCCATGGCGGTCGTTTTCTCACCTGGTTGAACGCCACTGTCTGCAGATACCGTAGCTATAAATTCAAGAATTGTAAAAGTAATCTACACGTAGATTATCACTTCGTTGGAAGCGGACGTTAAATAAAAAGCTTCACACAGCAACATCCAGATGTTGTAAAAAACTCGCAGTATGCATTTCATTCCGAAACGGTTCAGTCCATTGCATTTTGTAAGAGGTTGACAAATTTCATTTACATTTTTTTCATGTGTACCCGTTTTCTTTTCAGTCCATCATGTTATCTTTACAACTATTCGTAGTCTTGCTACCAGCGTTGGTTTTGGCATCTGAGGCCAGTTGGCTTGACAGTTTAATGTCTGAAGATGCAGAGAACCACGCAGATATCCTACATCAACTAAAGCGACATCTGTCTAATATGGAAATTCGGGGATATAGAGGTAATATTCTTGTTCGGGCGCTAAATGTGAGGGGTGGGGGTGGGATAACCCAGTGATCTGTAACTCGTCTAGCTGTCTAGTCGCAGCGGAACAGTAGGATGTTAAACCCCATTTCAGCTAACCTGTTGGTCCGCTGTTCAATTCAGGAGATGGCCGAGAGAGTATCTTTATTCTGGCGTGACCCCCCCCCCCCCCAACCCCTCCGTTCCCTTCAGTGGTGCAGTATAGTCTTTTAAGATGTGACCAAAAACCGAGGTGCCCCGTACACATGGGGGTTCACATGAAAGAATCCTTAGCAGTTGGAATTCGGTAATGTCATTTCACCGCTGTCCATAATACACTGGATGGTCTATTCCTGTCTTCATTAGCTCGGTCGGGGCAGGACTAGGGGACGTTAAACTTGTTTCCTTTCCTTGGCCTGTATCGGCTGTTCCTTAACTCCTACAGGCAAGATTTTGATTTGTAACCGCCACGAATCTTCAACAATTATTACATGTATAATTGCGTCTTGTAATCTCTATTAAAGATGTTTACTATCTTGATGGGTAATCAGCTAGGCTATTCAATATTTTTAAACCTTATCAGTCTGCATCTTAAAATTGTTTCAGGTCGAGGAAGAGGACCCAAGCAGGGATTTGTGAAGCTTTGTTTAAGTTACGTATGTCGAGCATTGAAAACGACGGCAAATGAAGCCGACAAAGACGCCGATGCCAAAAAAGGACGACGTGCTGGTCCCAAAATAGACTTTGAAAAATATAGCGATTTAAGAGACTCTCTTAAACTTTCGTGTGAGGAATTTCAAGATTATTTATGTAGGTTCTAGTTAGATACTATTTGTAAAATCGGGGTAGAATATTGGACAATGATAAATTCTGTTTTAACCCTTGAGACTCGAGATTAAGGGGGGGGGGGCACGGTGCTTCCCCCTTAAGTGATACACGAGATGAAAAACCGAGGTCCCGTGTACACATTGGCGTCCACGTAAAAGATCCCCTTGACAGTTTGAATTCGATATAAGAGTAGGCCGTAGTGCCGCTGTCCGGGCAAAATTTCCCTCATAGCACACTGTATGGCGTATGCCCGTCTTCATTAGCCCAGTTCGGAGCAAAACGGTAGAATGTTAAACCCCATTTCAATCTTGATTAAACACGGATCCTGTTTTGTTTTATGGTTCAAAATTTCGTGTTACTGGTCTTCACTACACAATGATCTAAAGAGTTTATATAACCGGCGTTTTGGTTTTTTGAGGAATTAGCAAATGAGACGGGGTATGGTACGGTGAGTTCATGGCGTCCGACGCACGGAAATGTGGGAAAACCTCAACGCTGATTGACGTCATAGGGTCAAAAGCTGCTCAATGACCCCTGTCACGACCTATCAGTACAACTTGTCGTGTAGGCCATCGAAAGAATGAAACGAAATAGATCTCTATTTTTAATTAGATTACAATGTGTAATTGGAAATGGTATTGGGCGTTTACCAGGTAATTTGCGTTCAAATAAATTTTCATACTTCATCGGCGAATCTATCCCTAGTGTAGAGATCCCGTGTTAGATCATGTCATAATGCCACCTACACATTCTTGTTGAACGTCAGAGCTAAGCAACTGTCGGTACCTTTTCAACGTCCTTGAAGAAAACTGCAGGTGGCCTTAAAAATTAGATCTTCTCGTGTTCGATTTTTGTTGGCCGAGAAAATTCATCCTGATTTTCCAGAGCACTCAGTGATGCATGACCGGGGCGGGAGGCGGGAGGGAGGTCCATAGTCTCTCCATGGCACGAAAATCAGATACCTCATTGGCGTGCACGTAAAGAGCCATTGTGGATAGATATCGAAATAGTTCGTTAGTCCAGCTGCCCGGGCAAAATGGCAAAATACACCTAACAGAACTTGTTGCCGTTTGCCCGCCTAACCCAGTCCGTGCAGTAAAGGGTTTTGGAAGTTTTGACACGGAAAGCATTCAATACAGCATTCTCCATGTTAAATTAATTTGATGGCTTTCGTTCACAAATCATTAAATGTTAGATTTCTTATATCTCGTTTCTCGTTTTAGATGAAGAAAAGAAGGCACGACCGACTAGACGACCCACATATAAGTCTAGATCCAGAAAATTTAAGACGACTACTACTACAGTGTCACCAGCTAAACGTAACAATCTGAATTCTTACGAAAAACGAGAACTGTTAAATGTATTATCTTTGTTACAGGAGGCTCTATAAATTTATGTTATGCCCCCCTCACAATCCATTTAAATAAATACTTCGATAATATTGTTTTTGTTTACCTTCGCCCTTGTCAGTGGTGCAGGACGGAGGGACTGTCGAGGACAGCTGTCTAGTCGTTCGGATGGCCCGAAAAACCGAGGTCCCGTGTTCACATTGGCGTGCACGTAAAAGATACCTTGACATTTGGAATTCGATATGAGTAGTGCCGCTGCCCGGGCACAATGTCCCTCATAGCACACTGTATGGCGTATGCCCGTCTTCATTAGCCTAGTCGGAGCAGAACAGTAAATCTTGAAATGGCTAAACTGTTCACCTTTTTCCACTGGAACTGTCTTATTACTCCTCCGCCGCCCCTATCTCAATCGCCAAAACCTGGTCAGAAAATGTATATTTAACCCATTTTAGTGGAATTTTACACTCGAAATCCTCCTGTAATAGCTGGGGAGAGACCACACTGATCCGCAGTGAATATTTGCTTGGCCGCGACAATCACTGATAAGGATGACATTGATGCGGCTTAATGAGCTAGAAATATTAACTTTTTTCCTGCCACAAATTAAATTCTAAAACATTTTTTGTATATATTGGAAAAATAAAGGCGTTTGACGTATTTGTAGGTAAAAAATTATTTCCGATTTAGTGTAAATGGGTATTAAAATGACTAAAATGCAGCATTCTCTCCGAAGCAGTTATGTCTTATGTAAACAATGCACGCGCCATTCAGCCAATGATTCACACCGCGTGCTGTGACAGCACGTGTTAAGGCAGTCATCTATGACAGAGATATTATACGAGACTCGTAATTCTCTGTGCAACAGATTGGGGAGAGACTTGTGCAATATACTCGTTGGCAGCCAGCGTAGCAATTCGTTGTCATATGAAGAATCCGGTATTTGGCTAATTTGTAATTGCAGTGTAGGTCACCTAGATCAAATATATGGAACGCAGATGCATGACTTCCATCTCTCCGCCATATAAAAAGATTCATTGAATGAGTCTTGAACAATGCTTTAAGTTAACAGTCGTAAAAGTCGCCAGAAAATAAAAATTGAATATTATGCGAAAGCGTAAATTTTTGGTAAACAAACCAACTGTGGAAGACATCACATAGGTTATGTTGAAACTTGTAAATATAGACCCCAACATGTGTTGGTGGGGGGGGGGCGGTTTATTCGGGTGTGTCGGAGGTCCCCCACTTGTCTCCTTCCGACACTGCACAGGGACCACATAATTTATATTTCAGTATAAATGATTCCTAGACCGAATAGGTGTAACATGGGAGTCCCCCATCCACTTCAAGTTACAGGAAAGAAATTGTAAAAACACTCATGAGAATTGTAGGGGTAAAGTCAAATTTCCTAAACGGGGTGGGGGGGGGCCTGTCATTGAGTCAACTGGCATGGTTTCCATTCCCCGGTTGTACGTGAATAGGAGTAGGGTCGCCTGTCCAACCTCGTGGGTTTTACTCCGTGTCCTCCGGTTTCCTCGCACTGCCTAAAGACCCCTACACGCAAGCGAATTTTTGAATTAAAATTAAACTTGTTAGTCTCGAAATGAACTAGTTTGTGTCGAGTGGACTTCAAAAACCCCATTTCTCTCTCGCTCGTTTGCAAGCCAATTAATGAAATAATAACACTGAACCATATGTTAATCCCGAAATGACCTAATTTATATTAAACATTATGAAATGCAGTTTGGAAAGCGCTATAGTACATGCCACGAGTCCATTCACCGATATACTCATATCTATTCAATAACAATGTTTGTCTCGTTCTAAGCGTGTTATCGAAATTCTTGTTTTTCTTCACGCAACAAAGTCTTGAATTCTAGACGATCCTTAAAAAAAAATAAACACACAAAAAAACATGATCTCGCTTTTTGCACCGGATGACTAGTTCCACATAAACGCGTAGATTAATAATCACCATATTCTCATCAGCTAATCAGCCAAGCCCTTTATCTGGATATGTAAAATATTCCAGGTATTTGGTATCAAACAGTAGTATGATTTAAGCAATAATTTTAGAATTAGCTTCGCGGAGTCATTTTACATTGCCCGACTATATATACTCGGTCATCCCAACTACGCATAAACTGTTAACGTCACGTTCTGGAGTAATCAATGAAAAGCGTATTAAAATACTACGTACATGTGGATAAGGTCACTGACAGTTCAACAAACCACCTATTCATTATAATTGAGTTCCTAGGTTAATTTATTTCGACTTGGTTGTTGGGTGAATCGAGTCAAGGGAGACAACTACATTTATTGACACGAATTCCCTGCCTGTTCTCAAATATTGTTTCCAACAGCGTCGGAAGAGCGAACTTGTCTGCGATATCACCCTAGGTGGAAGTGGACGTTAAACTCCAGGAATGAACGAACGGGAAGAGCGAAAGATAGAAATTGGGTTTAACGTCCAATTGACACAAACTAGGTCATTTTGGGACTTATGTTTCAGTTTTATATTAATAATTCGTTTGCGGGTAGGGGTCTTTAGCTGTGGGAGGAACCTGAAATGAAATGGGGTTTAACACAAAGTTATTCCGGGACTAACATATATGGTTCAGTTTTATTTCAATAATTCGCTTGTGCCTAGGGGTCTTTAGCAGTGGGTCCCTCTTCATTAGCCCAATCAGAGCAGAACAGTTGGTTTAATTTCATTTCTTTAGCAGTGGGAGGACAGGAGACACTACTCCTTGTCACGTACAACCAAAGGAATCGAAACCACTTCAGTTGACTCAATGACAGATATGATGATACAGCGCGCACGCGCTAACCATTCGGCCATCCAACTCACCAGACAGATTTAGCTCTATCCAGGTTCCGTGTATACATTAGAATGCACGTAAAAGATCCCTTGGCAATTGGAATTCGATATAAGAGTAGGCGATGGTGCCGCTGCCCGGGCAAAATTTCCCTCATAACACACTGTATGGCGTATGCCCGTCTTCATTAGCCCAGTATAGGAGCAGAACAGTAGGACGTTAAACCCCATTTCATTTCATTTCTATTATTTCTACTCTATCCACTTCGAGAATAGATCTCTGTCCAAAACGTGCGCCATATTATCCAACAATTAATATACCGTTTTGTAATGCGGTTTTACTCAGGTTCACATCTGTTACGCACAAGGGGGGTTTGATGGCCAAATGGGTAGCACGTGCGCGCTGTATCATGAGGCCTGTCATTGAGTCAACTGGTCGGGTTTCGATTCCCGGGTTGTACGTGACAAGGAGTAGTTTCGCCTGTCCCCCGGTTTCCTCCCACTGCTAAAGACCCTACGTGCAAGCGAATTATTGTAATGAAATTGAACCATGTGTTAGTACCCAAATGACCTAGTCTGTGTCGAATCGACGTTAAATCCCATTTCTCTCTCTGTTATACACAAAACGACTAATTAAACCTTTTCATTTTTGAACCATAAACTATAACACATACTTATGGAAGAACAATTACTGATTTATTTGGGCGACGTTTCGAAGAGTATTCTCTCAACGTTTTCAAGCAAGTACAGTAACAAATGTGTAGAGCAATTATATATAGACAAGAAATAACAACAATTCAGATACCGTTATAACTTCGCCCAAAATAAAAGTAATTTGAATGATATTGTCAATATTCATTTTTCATTATCTATTTTTGACCTATTATATCAAGAACGGCTAGCTTTTTATCTAAATCTTACATTTATTACATTTTTATCTCAAAATTCTCGAAATGTTTAGTGTTTCGATTAAAATCGATTCGTCGATTAAGGAATTAAAATATCGGTCAATTAGCTTAGTATCTGTTCTCGGGGCTAACTGTAGAAAAAGAGCTTACGTTTATTACATCCCGAAAATGCTCACTCAAATATGTGTTTAGATTGAACTGAAATGCAATTGTTTGTTTCCTAAAAAAATTTTTGATATTAAACAAACAACTACCCCTATACGCTTCCGTACTGAATAAAAACCGCGTCATTTAGACTGAAATTCAATTGTTTGTTTACCAAAAATTAAGAACAAAAACAAGTCGAAATAAGAGTTTTACAAAATAAATAATTATGAATTTTGAGGAATGTATCAGTTCGATTGAAATTCCCTTGATTGTTTATAAATAATTAAAATAAAAACAATTCTTGACACATTTATTGAATAAAGATGTTTAAAAATAATTATGAATGAAAATGTTAAGAAGAGTGTCATTTATCAATTGTTTATTTACAAGAAAATAAAAACAATGCTTGCTAAAATTATTGAACAAAGATACGGATGAAAATGTTAAGGAAAGTGTCATTTATCAATTGTTTTTTTACAAGAAAATAAAACAATTTATTTGACAGTTAACTGTTCAATCAAACGTACATCAAGTGATCATTGCTGGACAATAGTTCACCGATAACAAAATAATAAAATCTAATCACTTGAGCCTTTAGTTACAACAGAATTCAATCCGCGATCAGAAATCTAATCACAAATGTCGTTAGTAACAATAGGATTAATCCGCGATCAGATCAACTTTAACTCAATCAAACATGGCAGTTAAAACAACTGATCAAGGATTAAGTGAGTTGAACTGTCAGTCCCTATAACACCATTCAAAAAATCAAACTGGCGGGAAATCGAATCACTTAATTAGGAACGAATGAAATCCGGCGATTTCATTGGTTAATTAGTATGACAGGTGATGAGTGAGATGATTAACTCGAGTTTTGAAAGTTTATGTATAAAACTAAGGCGAATTCTTGAAACTTCATTCAACACTCAGTTTTGAGTTGTTAAACAGTTCTACATTCTCTTGTGCTTTAAAACCTGTGTTTGTTTATTTGGCTTACCAATACTGTAATAGTTAAACGTGCTTAGCTTACAAAAACTGTGTTTGTATTTGGATTATTAGTTGTGAACATTTCCATAGTAACAGTAAACTTCTTCAATAACAGAATGAAGCGTAAGCTGATAGACGCCTTCGACAGAGAAGAACAGAAAGCGCCCCGCCTTGAGCAGTTCAAATCAGAGAGACTCGTGCCAGCATTACCCCAACCGTCGGCTTCAGCACAGCCTATGCCCACAGATGTAGATCTTCATAATGTTATGATGAACTTTGTAAACATTTATGAGAAGCTTGACGCTAGTGATGAACTTTTGGAGAAACCGAACTATTCTTACACAGAGTTAGTTTATTTAGCTATCTTACGCTCTCCAAATTTTTGTCTACCCATAGGCGAGATTTACAAGTACGTCCAGAACAGATTCGTCTTCTTCAGAAACAACACTCGGCTACATTGGAGAAATGCCATTCGTCACAGTTTATCCAAGACCAAGTGCTTTACCAAAATCAACCTAGGCCGCGGTTCCAGCGGATCATCAAACAGAAGTTGCTTCCTGTGGTCCATCTCTCCTGCCAGTATCATCAACTTTGCTCGAGGTGATTATAGACCCAACGTAGATAGAGACAGTGGTACCAATACATTGAGATGGGGCTACTATCATACCAACGCCGGAAACTTCTGGGATCAGATAGCTGTTGTCCTTGAGAATAAGATAGAATTCTTCAAAGCTACAGCTGCGATTTGTCCTACACCTGTCAAAGTCTTCCAACAACAGATCTGCAACCTACCAAACCAAAGTGTTGAATCGTCCACGAATATTCCACAGAGTGCCATCATGACCCAGTCTACAGAAGCATCGCCTGTTTATCAGCCTAAACAGGTAATAACTCAGCAACAAGCCAAAGTCCAATCAACGCCACCACCAAATGTTGTATGTCAACCCAATGGTACCATCTATGCAACACCAGTCAGCACCCAGTCCACGCCACCACCAAATGTTGTATGCCAACCAAATGGTACCATATACACCAGTGCTACGCCTGCAGGATATTCCAATTCCACACCAATTGTTTACTCCAGTTCCACACCGATTGTCTTCAACTCTTCAGCGACTGACGGCAACACCAGTACTGAGAGCGAACACGTCCTTTCTTCAAATGGTTCCTATTCTTCTCCAGTTCTAAACGATTGTAGTCGACTCAGTTCTAATTTGTCCAGTCCGATCAGTCTTCCTTACGACATCGGTACCTCCTGCTACCAACCTGTTAGTCCACCACCATCGAGTTCCTGCATGCAGAGCACCCCTCACACCGATGTCAGCCAGCTATGGAATCAACAGAGTCCTGAAATCACCAGCGGTAGCTTCACCAAGGACAGTGGTATCGAGCTATCTTGCTCCGACCTCGAGTCCTTCCAAGAGTCCATCCAAGACCTGATCCCACTATACGAGACCGCATCTGGAGACACAAAGCAAATTTTCCCAGAAATAGATTTGAGCAGCTATGCTCATGTGCAACCCAGCCAAAGAAACATCCAAGAGACAACTTCGTTTCCGACACACGTCGTGGGAACCCAACATCTCCACCCGAATGTGATCCCACAGACTAACGCATCAAATAGTGCTATCATCACCAACTCCAATGGACAATACCAACCCTTTTCCTATACTACGTATCCCCAATACAACTTCAGCCAGGCAGCAACGACGGCGATTCCGAACCAAGTGTATACGTTCAATGCTGCTACCAACTCCTACCAACCAGTTCAGTGGTATCAAGGCTAAATGTGAGTGATCCGAATAGACTTCTGTGATAAAAACGTGCTTCGTTGTGATTTTAATTGTGATCAAAACGAGCTATATTATTTTACGAAAAATAACTAAAAAAACATAAAAAAAATATATCCATTGATGGGATATTATTTTACGAAAAATGACTCCAAAAGATGTGCTGAATCCATTAAAATGTGCTACCTTCTTTTATGAAAATGGATAATTTAAAAATGTGATGCATTGTTTTATGAAAAAATTAACTTAAAAATCATATAAAAAGTTATTTTATGAAATTAATTTAATAAAACAAAATTGTCATATGTGCTAATTATTTTTAATTATTATTGTATTGTGCTAAAATGATTACAGGAAACAGATGTCCATGTGCTAATATTTTTATTGTAGCTATTTATAACTAATGTTTGATGTAAAAGTGCTTTTCGTATTCATATATATTATTGATCTCTGTAAATATATTGTTAAAAATAACATTATTTATTATGTAAATAATTGTTTATTTATTCTATTCTAACCATTATTTATTTAATAAATTGATGAAAGATTGATTAACTTCTTTTTACTCTTTTTATGGTTGTTTTAGCAATTTTAGTTTAGGTGGTCGAAAGTCTTGAAGAAATGGGGATTTACGTTCTATTGTTCTGTTCTGGCTGGGCTAATGAAGACGGGTATATGCTATGAGGGAAATTTTGACTTAGCAGCGACACCATGGCCTACTCTTATCAAATTCCAACTGTCAATGGATCATTTATGTGCACACCAATGTATACACAGGATCTCGGTTTTTCGCCCCATCCGAATGAGTAGACAGCTGTCCTCTCTGTCTTTCTCCACGTCCATGTTTTGAAGAGCCAAGAACAACTGTGTGTCTGTGGCTTAACTTTGGAAACATTTGGGTCCCCGCGGTAGTCGTGTGGTTTGGACACTGGATGAAACGAAGTTGGGGCTTAACGTAGCCCAGTCTAATGAAGACAGGTGTGTAATGTGCATTGTGGGGTATTTTGTCTGGGCAGTGAGTGGTATTTCCGCTTAGTTTTTTTTTTATCGAACTCTAGTTTTTTTTTTCCATTTCTTGTCAGACCCTAGACTGTCATTGAGTCTAATGACATGGTTGTGGTTCACCTGTGTCTGGTACGTGGTATAGTACATCGGTCCACCATCAAACAATCAATTGCAAGTGATTGTTTTGGTATAATTATATCATATGCCAAGGAAACTCTCTTTATCTATAATTTTCCACATTTTATTTCTTATATTAATATTTTACATAATTCCCAGAAAATATTCATCAATAAAAGAAATAATACATACAGCAGTCAGGAGTAGCACATGACACAATTATATAGAATTAAAGTTACAAATGAAATGGGGTTTAACGTGGTATACTGTTCTGTAAGATTATGATGTAAGATTAATGAAGTATGGGGGGGGGGGGTGTTGGATGGCTGAATGGTTAGCGTGCGCGCGCTGTATCATAAAGTCTGTCATTGAGTCGACTGACGTGGTTTCGAATCCCCGGTTGTACGTGGCAAGGAGTAGGGTCGCCTGTCCAACCTCGTGGGTTTTCTCCGGGTCCACCGGTTTCCTCCCACTGCTACGCACAAACAAATTAAGTAAATAAAATTATAACCATATGTTAGTCCCGAAATGACCTAGTTTGTGTCGAGTGGACCTTAAACCCCATCTCTCTCTCTCTTTCTCTCTCTCTCTCTGATGAAGTATGATTGTTACAGTTTTTATAATAGTTTTGTTGGATATCTTGAAGAAATGAAATGGGGTTTAACGTCCTATTTTTCTGCTCCGACTGGGCTAATGAAGACGGGTATATGCCATAGCCTACAGTGAGCTATGAGGGAAATTTTGCCTGAGCACTACGGTCTACTCTTATAATATCAAATTCCAACTGCCTAGGGATCTTTTACGTGCATTCCAATGTGTACACTGGACCTCATTTTATTTCCCCATCCGAAAGACTAGACCGCTGTCCTTCTCAGGACCTCCATCCTATACCACTGACAAGGGGAAACCATGCCGGAAAATCACTTGATAAAGAAGAGAGAACACTCATGGAATCGTCGCCAGAAATAAACTTTTTAAGTAACTGGTATTCCATATAATTGTGTCATGTATTATTCTCATTCAGTTACTAAATTTAGTCAAGAGTTGAATATACAATGTAAGTTTTTAAAATGATAATTACATATAGTTCATAGCAGGGGCCTCAGACCATTGGATGTGGTCCGATGGTCCAACATTGGAAAAAAAACCTGACATATTTTTTTTCAAAATAAATAAAATCATTTAGGTGGGTACACACATAGGAAGAGTGGAGTGGGGTCAAAATGGCGGCCCTACTTTGAATGTTTGTCTATTGGAAATGAAAATGTGTTTAACGTCCTACTGTTCTATACAGTGTGCTATGAGGGAAATTTTACATGCATGCCAATGTATACACAGGACCTGTTTTTAATCCCATCCGAATGACTAGACAGCTGTCCTGCACCACTGACAAGGGGGAACCACGTCGAAAAATCCTGATGAATTGTCTCAGCCAACATGTGATCTCCAGGTTTGCGAGCCAGCGGCTTACTAACTTTGCGACTCTGGCCCCCGTTTGTCTACTGTCTATTCCACATTATTTCAATGAATATAGGAGAGGGACCCGTCCTCTGAACATGTGCCTGCTCTATTCATTAAAAAAACCCATTGTAGCAAAGATGAGGCAAGCTAGGCAAGGCATGTTTTTCTGGGAGAGGGGGGGGGTGGGGTTGTCTGAATATACTTGGACCACCACAAAATTTACATAGTAGGCCCTTCCTCCTATTTATTTACAACAATTATTAGGATTAGTTAAGATTCTATCTGTATAAAACCTGTACATATCCCAATATGTTGGTGTAATGTTTTAGTTTAACCTAGTAAAATATGCCAAAACAGTGTTTACAGAAGACTGAAACTTTAAAAATATTTTATGGTGGTGGCCTCCTCCCAACCCCAGAGGGTGGATGACCCTCCCACACTCTCCCTATCGCGCTACATCGGCTGCTGCGCAGCCTCGTGCCTCCGGCGTCACAGATTGTCAACATTTTATATAATTTCATTTGCGGACCCCCCCCCCAATATATATTTCGCGGCTACGCCTCTGAGGTGAGGGACCCCTTCTCTGAACACGTGCCTGCTCTATTCATTAAAAAACCAAAAAAAACAATTCAGGCAAAGATGAGCCTTTATAATTAATATTGCAACAAGCTAGCCTTTATAAAACAAATGATATTAATTACAATTTGCTAAAGCTTTAAAGCTACATTATGGGAGATTAGATAAAGAGCTGGCAGTTCTCACTATAATAGTTAAAAACTAGATACTGTAAAGGGAATTTGTGGAAAATTTCAGTCAAATTGATCCACTATGAACCAAAAATTTAGCGATTGAATTTTGGGCCTAGCCTCGATCATTACTAAGGTCGGTACGATAAAATACATAGTCTTGATTATCCATTTCTTGATTTGATTATGAATGAGAGTAGAGGATACTCTCCTCTTTGTCAAGCAAATGATCGATAAAGATCAAAGAGTATCCTCGCGGAAACGTCACTTAGTATTACACATGTAATTGTGTATCAATAAAATTGTACCTTGAGTTAATATATTCAATTACTAAATGCCAAATCAAAGAAGATCTATAATTCTTGTTCTGGAGGGGTTGGTTGACAAGTTTTTAGACACAGTTATTTTATAAACCAGACTAGGAAATAATCACAAAATGGACGATTGATAAAGATGTGATATATTATCAAAACTGTCTGCATCATGTAATAGATGAAATCTCTGTTGAACAATCAGAAAGCCTAGAAAGTTTTAAATATCTCCAATCTGTTTAAAACACAGATCCTATTTCGTTTTTATAGTTCAAAATTTCGTTTTACTTGTCTTTACTACACTTGGATCTGGAAGAGTTGTTATTTAACTCGTGTTCTGAATGGTGTCAGGGCACGGAACTGTGGGTAATCCACTAGTAACATCAATGATGATTGGTTAATCAAATGTCTGACATCATAGGGTCATAAGTCGGTCTTTTGACCCCTGATGTGACCTATCGCTATAACTTGTCAGATCTTCATGTAGTGTAGGCCATCGAAAGTATAAAAAAACGAAACGAAATATAGATCTGTATTTTAATCAGATTGAAAAACATCCCTTTTGTCAATTATGAACTAATCCATTTGTTAGATAACAATATGTTGATTAGAAGAGTTCATTATTCACTTAGGGTGTTTAATCAGATTGATATATCTCAGAATCTGATTCACATGCAGATTCTTGCAGGCCTTAACGACTAAATACTTGATGATTTTCACATAATATATGACAAATTTTCAAAAATGCAAGATAATCTTTTGTCCACTTAGAATTAAGCAGATTAATCTTGTTGTTTTTAAAACATTTTTGGATTCAAAGGATTCTTATAGACAACCATTAGGAGAATCCAGGTAAGTTATTGTAATATATATACATGTCAAAAATTTATTATTTGGCCAATATGTATCACTTTGGGTGTGCTCGATTGTCAGTCCGGAACGTCCCGAATTGACAGAATTGCAATCAAGTGATACGGAATCAAGCCCTGTCACTGTTCTGCCAGTTCCGACAGCTGAGGTGGTGTGAGTAGAATCGTGACATATTTTAAGTAAAAAATATGTTTCAGTTGTCATGATTGGTTGAGATATTTTTTATGCAGTCGGCACATGCATTGTACTCCGAAATTTTCCTTTCCACTCGATAGACACTATTTTTGGAATTGAGAGAATTTAATTCTGGAACGTTCAATCGAGTATCCTCGTTGTCTTTCTGACTGGATTGTAATCACGGACAGCAGAGGCACCTAGAGATCCCGATGACACACGGCACCAACCAGTATCTAAAACAAAAAAATACTATAAATCCAATGTTTGTTACTGCCCGTTCTTCAGTCCGTCTGCTTTCAGCAAAGTTCAAAGGTCATAAAATATATAAATTAACCATCCGTCTGCTTTCAGCAAAGTTCAAAGGTCAGAAAATATACAAATTAACCATCCGTCTGCTTTCAGCAAAGTTCAAAAGTCAGAAAATATATAAATCAACCATGTCGTCCCTGATATGCACTAACATCATCCAATGAAATCTCTTCATTTGTTTGTTGAAGCGTACGCTTGTTTCGTGGAGGTGGCGGGGGAATTCGACGGGGGTTCGTATCGAAGGCTTGATAAGCCTCGTTTTCAAGTCCTGAGTGGTTAACAGGATTATATCCAACGTAACTCCGCCTACCTACTGGTTCGTAATTTCCGTCTGGATGGGAATGTCTTTCTGGACTACGTAAATGTGCTGTGTAGTGATTTTCGCTACAATGGCCGCTACCACCACACTGTGTTTCTGCTAGACCGTTGCTATAGTGATCTGTACTGGTATTATAATGTGACGCGTGATTCGGTGTGGTTGGCATGTGTTGTGGAATGCTTGTGATATCGTCATCTACAAAATCAGAAAAATAAATCAACGTTTTATTTTTAAATAAATGAGAAATTGACAATACTGGAGTTATCTCCCTTCTATCATCAGAGTTAGTCCTCACAATCCATGTCCACTATTTGTCATGCAGGATTGAAACCACTCCACCACATGATCTAAAACGCACACCGTAAACCACTTGCCCCCCCCCCTCACACACACACACACTTCTTATTTAAGACAGATTTCTGCAACTCAAGTTTTACATAAATGTGCTGCCCTAAGGTTTGACCGAACTCAAATTCATTTAACAATCTGGGGTGGGGGGGTTGGATGGCTGAATGGTTAGCGTGCGCGCGCTGTATCATAAAGTCTGTCATTGAGTCGACTGGCGTGGTTTTGAATCCCCGGTTGTACGTGACAAGGAGTAGGGTCGCCTGTCCAACCTCGTGGGTTTTCTCCGGGTCCTCCGGTTTCCTCCCACTGCTAAAGACCCCTATGCGCAAGCGAATTATTGAAATAAAATTAAACCATATGGTGGTCCTGAAATGACCTAGTTTGTGTCGAGTGGACATTAAACCCCATTTTTCTCTCTCTCTCTCTCTTTAACAATCTTATTGTTTAAATACTATATTTCCTAAAAGACCAAGTCCAAATTTATGGCCAACTCTCCTCATTAATCAAATTAAAAAATAAAATTATTTTCCATCACTTACTGTCCTCAAAATCAGGATAATTTGATGCAGTATCAGCAGCGATATTTGGTTTCCTTCGACTTCTCCTCGGATCAAATATATACTCATATAACAACCCTGATATAACACCACCAGTTAATGGTCCAGCACAATATATCTAAAATAACAAACACAATATATCTAAAATAACACAATATAAAATAACAGAATAAATGAAATGAAATGGGGTTTAACGTCCTACTGTTCTGCTCCTATACTGGGCTAATGAAGACGGGCATACGCCATGCAGTGTGCTATGAGGGAAATTTTGCACGGGCAGCGGCACTATCGCCTACTCTTATATCAAATTACAACTGCCAAGGGATGTGTTACGTGCATTCGGTTTTTTATATCATCCAAAGGACTAGACAGCTGTCCTTGTCAGGCCCTCCGTTCTGCACCACTGACAAGGGGAAACCACGTCGGAAAATCCAGATGAACTTTCTCGGCCAATGCAGGGATCGAACACCCGAACTCCAGGCTAGCGAGCCAGCGTCTTAACCACTTAGCCACCGTGGCTCCCAAATAACAGAATAAATGAAATGAAATGAAATGAAATGGGGCTAATGAAGACAGGCATACAGTGTGCTATGAGGGGGGGGATATTTTACCAGGACAGCGAAACTACGGCCTACTCTTATATCGAATTCCAACGATAATGTGTACACAGGACCTTGGTTTTTCGTCCCATCTGAAGAACTAGGCTGATGTGCAAATAAATGCATATAGACCTTTCTCACACTAAACTGGTGTGTAAATAATCCCATTGTTTATCAGAATTATGGAAGTGACGGACGAAGACATGGGAGTATAAAAATCTGGAATTTGTTTCCTTTATGAATTATTATTTCACAATTGTCTTCTTGTTATGTTTCAGTACTCAGGGGGATCACTAGGCTAGCCTGGAGGTCGGGTGTTCGATCCCTGCATTGGCCGAGAAAGTACATCCAGATTTTCCGCCATGGTTTCACCTTGTCAATGATGCAGGACGGAGGGCCTGACAAGGACAGCTGTCTAGTCATTCGGATGGGACGAAAAACCGAGGTCCCGTGTACACATTGGCGTGCACGTAAAAGATCCCTTGGCAGTTGGAATTCGATATAAGAGTAGGCCGTAGGCCAAAATTTCCCTCATAGCACACTGTATGGCGTATGCCCGACTTCATTAGCCCAGTTTAGGAGCAGAACAGTAGGAGGTTCAACCCCATTTCATTTCATTTCATTGCAGCACTCAGCTTGTAACATTTTGTATAATGGGAGATAACTCTTGAAAGCTTACCCATATATTGTCCCAATGACTCATGACAAATGCTGGCCCAAGAGATCTGGCAGGATTAATAGCACTACCAGTAAAACGAAACTGAAATTATAAAATAATACATGTCCATTAATAAATAGTAGAAAACTAGCATGCCAATATTTTTATTATTGTAATGATGGTAACCATGACAATCAACCCTGCTGATAAAAAAGTAAGACGTTAACCTCCATTTCCCTGCATTGGCCGAGAAAGTTCATCCAGATTTTCCAACGTGGTTTCCCCTTGTCAGTGATGCAGGACAGAGGGCCTGAAGAGGGCCTGACAAGGACAACTGTCTTGTCGTTCGGATGGGACGAAAAACCGAGCTCCTGTGTACACATTGGCGTGCACGTAAAAGATCCCTTGGCAGTTGGAATTCGATATAAGAGTAGGCCGTAGTGCCGCTGCCCGGGCAAAATTTCCCTCATAGCACACTGTATGGTGTATGCCCATCTTCATTAGCCCAGTTTAGGAGCAGAACAGTAGGACGTTAAATCCCATTTCATTTCATTTCATTTCATAACCTTCATTTCATTGAAATCTTGGAAAGCACGTACTTACTCCAGGATATGGAGGAGTTGGGTGGTCAAGTGGTTTAACACATGCAATTTAGAATTAGATCATAAGGTCTGTTATTGAGCCAAGTGGCATGGTTTCGATCTCAAGGAGTAGGGCCAGCCTTGTGGGTTGTCTCTGGGTCCTCCAGTGTCCTGTGTTATTCCCAGCCTGTACCTGACAAAGAGTAGAGTCGCTTGTCCAACTTCGTGGTTTTCGCCAACTCCAATGGTTTCCTCCCCTAAGACCCCAACGCACTGGCGAATTATTGAGATAAAATTGAACCATATGTTAGTCCCAAAATTACCTAGTTTGTGTGAGAGGATCTTAAACATCATATCTCTCTCTTTCTCTCTGGGGGAGAGGGGATGGTGGATGGCCGAATGGTAAGCGTGTGCGCGTTGTACCATAAGGTCTGTCATTGAGTCAACTGGCATGGTTTCGATTCCCCGGTTGTAGTGACAATGAGTAGGGTGGCCTGTCCAACCTAATGGGTTTTCTCTGGTTTCCTCCCACTGCTAAAGATCCCTACGCGCAAGCGAATTATTGAAATAAAATTGAAGATATGTTAGGCCATCTCTCTCTCTCTCTCTCTAAAACATTTGACAACAGATCAACTTACCCCTGCTAAATGACACAAGGCTGCTGCGATACCAATAGCTAGTGGTTTACTTCCTAGTTCACGTCTGTTCGGATCTATCGTCGCAAATACCGAGAAAACTAAAATATAGGTTAATATAGCCTCTATACCAAAAGCTTTCCAATGATTTAATCCGGTCATAACACGGGTAATTCCCATTTCATTCTGACAAACACCAGGAGTTATTCTGAAAATATACAATTAAAATCTTGTTATTATAACCCATCAAAATATGTCAAATTTATAAGCTAGAGGGGTGACCGTTTATTGAAGAGATTGAGCCACTGTGGCTAGTTTTTCCTACCATGCATAATGCACCACTGACACGGGGGAACCAAATCGGAAAATCCTTATGAACTTTCTCGTCTATGCAGGGATCGAACATGCGACCTCCAGGCTAGCGAGCCAGCGTCCTACCCACTTAGCCACCATGGTTTCCCGCTTTAATAATGAACCTATACATACATTGTGTACAGTTGGAAATGTACACATTGGCGTGCACATAGAAGATCCCTTGATTGGAATTCGATATAAGAGTAGGCGATAGTGCCACGGACCAAGCAGAATTTCCCTCATAGCACACTGTAGTCCATTCATTAGTCCAGTGGGAGCAGAACAGTAGGATGTTAAACCCCATTTTCATTTCATTTATTAAACGGATAACACCAAAGAATTACTTCAGAGGGAATTTATTCTGGCCGCTTACAAGGAGATGTTTCTGAATAGAAGTGGCTACTGGTACACATTCTATTATATTGTAATATTGGGGCTAAAGCTGTCTATTGCAGGTCTTTCTTTAGGTCTGAAATGTTATCTAAATTATTAATTAGACATTAATTAACCTATCTAGACCATAATCAACTCTAGATGGCATCGCTAGCCTGCGATCTTTTGTGGATTGTGAGCCGATTTACTGCATAACTTTCCTTCACGATTTAAAGATTAAATGAATAATTAAGACTATGCTGTTTATCGTAATGATGATCAAGGCTAGACGGAAATTCAATCGCTTTGTTCTCAGTTCATAGTGGATCAATTTGAATGAAATTTTCAGCAAATTGCCTTTTACATTATGTAGTTTTTAACTCTTATAGTGAAAACTGCCAACTCGTTATCGAATCTCCCATAATGTATCTTTAATTATTCATAATTCAATAGATCAATCATTATCTAAACTTTTATCGCAAAAACTTGTGACCAGTTTTTGTCTCATTGATCATTTTTTAACGTGTTATCGTATTTCTGACTGGTGATGAATCACGGGTTTACAGTACACTTCAGATCATTTTATCGATGGATTTATTTATTTTTTTTTCTGTATGAACCTGCAATAATATGATTCTGTATGAAACTGATATTATTATTTAAAGTAGCTAAGTCCGTAACTCAATATCATCCAAAATCTTCGACATTGAAAACACAAATTTTTAAGCAATTTAAATCAGCATTGGTGTTGTGATCTTACCTGGAAAAAATGGGCTTCTGATATCCAATATTTAAGACAAAATAAACATTTTTACCATTGGTACACGAATCGTGTACCATAATGCGTTTCAGCGCCATTTGTAACAAGGTGCTCAAATAATGAGCTAGACATATCCCACAAGTCAGGTCAAACGGTGATATCATATTCTAATTTGGAGAGCATGCGCAATAAATAATATAGGTGTTGAATGGAATAAGACTTCTGGCGTATTTCACCGAACATAACTGATGACAATTCACAGTAAAACGGACATGATTGAATGTAAAACAGCTTATATAAATTCATATTACATTACTATATGTGTTGCGAGTCATTTGTGCCAATTACTAGGTCCAAAATATTAGCGATTTAGCTCCTTTAATATGAAAAGTACCACATGTAATAATATCGGAATATAATATGAAAATATGACTAATAATATTTAGAATAATTTATACAGATGATAAAACTAAATGAGTTAGAGAGAGTTTGCCATAACCATGTTAAAGTGGATTTTTACCAAGGTTTAGGTTATAATAATGGCGGTTATAAATAAGGGTGTGTAAGCAGATAAAGAAGAAAAGTAAATGAAGCAAGGGGATCCAGAGTATTTTTAAATCATTTACGAGCCGAAAGATGAATAAGGAATTAAAGAGGTTGTCACCCATGAACTGTGATGTTAGTAGAGGGTTTTTGCCGTTGATTGCCTCCTAAGGGGGGAAGGGGTTTGTAGTCAGATAAAGAAGAATAGTAAATGAAGCAAGGGGATCCAGAGTATTTTTAAATCATTTACGAGCTGAAAGATGAATAAGGAATTAAAGAGGTTGTCACCCATGAACTGTGATGTTAGTAGAGGGTTTTTGCCGTTGATTGCCTCCTAAGGGGGGAAGGGGTTTGTAGTCAGATAAAGAAGAAAAGTAAATGAAGCAAGGGAGAGAGAGAGAGAAATGGGGTTTAACGTCCACTCGACACAAACCAGGTCATTTCGGGACTAACATATGGTTTTTTTAAATTTTATTTACATAATTCGCTTGCGCGTAGGGGTCTTTAGCAGTGGGAGGAAACCGGAGGACTCGGAGAAAACCCACGAGGTTGGACAGGCGACCCTACTCCTTGCCACGTACAACCGGGGATTCGAAACCACGCCAGTCGGCTCAATGACAGACTTTATGATACAGCTCGCGCCTGCTAACCATTCAGCCATCCAACCCCCATGAAGCAAGGGGATCCAGAGTATTTTAAAATCATTTACGAGCCAAAAGATGAATAAGGAATTAAAGAAGTTGTCACCCATGAGCTGTGATGTTAGTAGAGGGTCTTCGATGCTGATCGCCTTCATTAGTTCCTCTTCCTTAAAGGGGCATTATGGGAGATTTATAGAGAAAACGTCATTTAATTCTTGTTTGATAACGATAATAGTACGGCGACTCGTAATCTTTGAGATGTTTTGTTATCCTCTTCCGCCATTACGATAAGACCTCTATGTTCTTTGCGTATAAACTTAAAGATTCGTTATGGGAGATTAGATAAAGAACTGGCAGTTCTCACTATAATAGTTAAAAACTAGATAATGTAAAGGGAATTTGCTAAAAATTTAAGTAAAATTGCTCAACTCTGAACTAATACATTATCATTTGAATTTTAGGCCTAACCTCGATCATCATTACTAAAGTTGGTACGATAAAAAACATAGTCTCGATTATCCATTTTTTTTATTAAATCATCAATGAGCGATGAGCAACAAATCGGATTCAAATCCAGTGAAAATTTGACACATAACATCTAGAGTTGATTATGGTCTGGATAGGTTAATTAATGTCTAATTAATAATTTAGATAACATTTCAGGCCTAAAGAAAGACCTTCAATAGGCGGATTTAGCTCTTGTATAATGTATGTTTAAAAATTGTTTTCCTTCCGTGGGGGGAGGGGGGAGGGCCCAATGGTTAGCATGTGCGTGCTGTATCATAAGGTCTGTCATTGAGTCAACTGGCGTAGTTTTGATTCCCCGGTAGTAGGTGACAAGGAGTAGGGTCGCCTGTTTAACCTTGTGGGTTTTCTCCAGGTCCTCCTGTTTCCTCCCACTGCTAAAGACCCCTACGCACAAGCGAATTATTGAAATAAAATTAACCATATGTTAGTCCCGAAATGACCTAGTTTGTGTCAAGTGGAGGTTAAACCCCATTTCTCTCTCTCTCACCTTCCATGAGACAAAAGATTATGTTATTACAAACAAATTATCACACCCACACTCGTGTCAGTTAGTTTTAGATTAATTCTTGTTATTGTAAATGGATATTGTCTGATGCAGTTACATTCATTAATAAATGAGCTAAATCTATAGGTTTTTATTTTGGCTTCAAATGTTATATAAACTATTATTTAGTCATATTCATAATAACACAACTTTATAGATTTACTACTTCTTGTTTTATTACATCCAACATTTCAATACTCTTACAGGTATCTTTATCAAGCAATGATCAATAATGAAAAACAACCTTACATTTCATTTCACTTACATAATGTATCTTTAAGTGAAATTTGTGCTTTTAGAAACAGATCTCCTGGGAAGTAAGATTTAAATAAACTTTCAAAACAAGTAATATAGTATTCCTTCGAGATCTCATGTAAAGACAAAACAATGTTAAATACAGACTTGAACCGAGATAGATAGACGATATAGACGATGAAACAAATCGCAAAAACCCTAGACAATGTTAAACATGGACTTGAAGCAAGATAGATAGACATATCCACGATGAAACAAATCGTAAAAACCATAGATAAATAAGTTCTGTTTTACATTAGTGTCAGTATTTCTTATTCTCGGAATTAAATTTCAGACATTCGTATTAAAGGGCCTTGGGGCTGTTTCACGCAATTTTTACTAAGATAAAATCCAAATTTTAGTAATTTGATTGGATAATATTAGATTAATTTTAGTGCTTAGGCAATCAAAATTGAACTATCTACTAATATTTGGATTTTAACTTAAATATACATTATGCAAGAGCAAAATCTGCTTATTACAAGTCTTTCTATAGGCCTGAAATGTTATCTAAATTATCAATTAGACATTAATTAACTTATCCAGATCATAATAAACTCTCGATGTCAAGGCTAGCCTTCGATGTTGGCTGGATTAGATTCCTATATGCCGCTAACGGCCGTTGATAATTAAATCAATAAAAGTGGATAATCGAGACTAAGCTGTTCATATTAATGATTTTAGTAATGATGACTGAGACTATGCCAAAATTTCACCCGCTTCTTTCTCGGTTCATAGTGGATCAATTTGACTGAAATTTTCAGCAAATTACCTTTACACTATCTAGTTTTTAACTATTATAGCGAGAACTGCCATCTCGTTATCTTATCTCCCATAATGTATCTTTAAGTTAAGATTTTGAGAAACAGGGCCCTGGTTCTTTCTAGTAATGTGGCCGAGAAAGTTCATCCTGATTTTCTGACGTGGTTTCCTCTTGTCAGTGGTGCAGAATGGAGGGCCTGACAAGAACAGCTGTCTAGTCCTTCGAACGATACGAAAAACCAAGGTCCCGTGTATACATTAGAATGCACGTAAAAGATCCCTTGGCAGTTGGAATTCAATATAAGAGTAGGTGATAGTGCCGCTGCCCGGGTAAAATTTCCCTCATAGCACACTATATGGCGTATGCCCGTCTTCATTAGTCCAGTATAGGAGCAGAACAGTAGGACGTT